GCGGGGAGAGTTCAAAAAGATTCCAACGGATAGATTGTCATATATCTGGTACAGTTAGCGCTTCCTGCCATTTCTGGTGACGTCATCCCCCCCTTGTTCGAGATCTGTTTTCTTGAGATGCATCTCTACCGATGCGAATGGATTGCTCCTCCTCGTTGTCACACCATTGTACTGTAGCACGATTTGAACTCTTGATCTGGTGATCTTATCTGGTTATCGACAGTAAGAAGATGTGTGGATCGTTCGTTCAGCATTCGGCGGGCGGGGAGAGTTCAAAAAAGATTCCAACGGATAGATTGTCATATATCTGGTACAGTTTGTGCTTCGTGCCATTTCTGGTGACGTCATCCCCCCCTTGTTCGAGATCTTTTTTTCTTGAGATGCATCTCTACCGATGCGAATGGATTGCTCCTCCTCGTTGTCATATACCATTCTACTGCAGCAGGATTTGAACTCTTGATCTGGTGATCTATCATCTGGTTATCGACAGTGAGAAGATGCGGGGATCGTTCGTTCAGCATTCAGCCAGTAGAGAGGGTGTCTAATGGAGGGAATGTGGGGGGTGGAGTTTCGATTGTTTGTTGAGTAATTTTTGGTTAACAGTTGCATAGGTGGGTGTGCATTCAGCCACCAGGGCAGGCGAAGTGTTCCCCATTGGACTGTAATTCATTTGTTGGTCGAGTGATTTGAGATTTGAACTCGCGCACTTTTCGCGGACTGAACTGAACTGAACTGAACTGAACTAAACTGAACTGATTTTTGTGTATAAATGGGGTATCGAGTGGGAGAGAGAGGGGATTGAACGAACAGGGAGGAGTCCATGAAAGACCGTGCGAATGATACCGTCGCGTCTCTTCTCTCGGGCAAGAGACATTGGTTGTGGATCTCTGGGCCCAGGCGCGTCTGCTGACGTGGCACACGCACGGCGGGGTATTACAGGAGGAGGTGCCTTCGCTGAAACCCGAGTGCCTCTGCTGACGTGGCGCCTTTTGATGACGTGGCGCCTTTGCTGGCGTGGTGCCTTTTGCTAACGTGGCGTCTTTGATGACGTGGCGACTAAGCATCTGGCTGAGGACTACCACCTCGTGAGCGAGTGTATGCCGCAGTTGTGGGTACGCGCTTGCGCTCCTTTGCGTTGGCGATTTTGAGGTGTGTGTGTGTGTGTGTGTGTGTGTGTGTGTGTGTGTGTGTGTGTGTGTGTGTTCAGAAGCGTGTTTGTGTGTAGGTGGTAGGTAGGGGGAGGGCGAGAGAGCGAAAGCGAGCGAGCGAGCGAGCGAGAGCGAGAGAGAGAGAGAGAGAGAGAGAGAGAGAGAGAGAGAGAGAGAGAGAGAGAGAGAGAGAGAGAGAGAGA